CCTCTCAGAATCCTGGAAGTATAATTTTAGAGGTGAAAGTCAGGATTTTAAGATAAAGTTTACAATTCTTTTATTCAAGAATTTTGACTTTTAACTTTTAAAGATATAAGTCAGAATTTTGAGATCGATGTCAGAATTGTGACTTTCATCTCAGATTTCTGAAAGTCAAAGTTCTGAGATGAAAGTCTGATAAAAACAACTTGTCCTCGTCTGTAGGTAATCCTACCTGTGCAGGTGTGCGACCGCAGTTCTTTGCCACCTCATTAACCAGAGGCTCGTTGAGCAGCTCTCCTTTTCCTAAGGAGGAGTACGCTTGAAAACAAACTCCGTACTCTTTACACAAACTCCTCAGCTCTGACTGACACAGCTGTGGGTGAAACTCCACCTGCAGGAAACAAAAAACACCAAACAAATGATGCGTGCTTCACGCTACTTTCCCTCCTCTCCTTTAATCTACCTGCAGAACGGCAGGAGGAACTTTGCAGCTCTGCATCAGCTCCCTCATGTGAGCCGTGGTGTAGTTGGACACTCCGATGGACCTGAGCTTCCCCTGACCGTGCAGCTCCTCCAGCGTGACCCAACTCTGAGCTCGGTTACCTGGAATCAAATATTAATCCGAGTCACATCTTTAATAAACGAGCTCGTCTCTGTTTTAGAGAGAAACGGTGACGTGTTTCTGAGGTGAGGCAATCTGCACTCTACCTGGGTTGTGTTGGTCAGACACCGGCAGTCCTTGTGAACCAGGCCAGTGGATCAAATACAGATCAATGTAACCCAAGTCCAGCTGAGACAGACTCTGGAGGGCACCCGCCATGGCCTTCTCACCCTGATCCTTCGGGCTCAGCTTACTGTGACAGAGAGAAAAGTGGGGGATTTGTGGATCTGCATGATTCCTTTCTATTTTAAAAGGGATCCATGATTAATTGTAATATTAGACTTTATTTAATAAACATATATTTTAACTGTAAAATAGAGCCTAAAAATACTGTAGGATGTTTAGTTTTTTATCATTATTAAACTAAAAGTTTAAAAATATATCACACGGACAGGGCCATTTTATTTACACACAAAGCATTCTGGGTAAATGATGACATGGATAGGTCCTCGGTGCGATGCTACTAGTGAGCTATTTCCACCCTGAAGGTTAATCTTGGACAATATCTGACGATAGACTCTTAATTGAAACCAGAGAGCG